CTCCCTCCTTCACCGCAGGGGCCTCGAGCTGCACCCCCTACACCCCTTCCCTCCAACAGGCTTACCAGCCAGATGCTGCACTCCAAGCTGCAGGGCTGCATATCGGCAATCTGATTGGTATTGGTCAATATGGCTCATTAATAATTGACCCAAAAAATCTTTATTGGTGCACCCCTAGTTATAGTATACTTTTTACATTCATCCCACACATCTGTTATTCACCTCCACCTACCCTGCACAAGGATAAATATAAAGACCCATGAGTGGTAAATCATCTTATTTTAGTAGAAACTATCATTTTACAGGTAATATTAGTACACATCTGTCTGGTGAGACAATAGATTTGTGACCAGCTTGCTGACCATCTGCAAATGACTTTAGAGCCCAATTCTTGAATGACAGTCACTTCTGTACTTATACTATGTGAAGTTCATATCTAACAATCCTGACTGAATGTGAAGTGGGTTTCCTCCTGATATATGTTAATATATTAAGAGATGCATCTTGGTAAGATTAAAAAAATAGTCTGGATTATATCCATCAAAATACGTAATTGTCACAAAAATACACAAATACACTGCATAATTGTTGTCAAAAGTATTAAAAAAAAGTTTAAATAAATTAGGAAAAATATCGATGCAATTTTGTTAATTTGATGTTCATTTAAGAGAATCTGTACTGTGATGAATCTATGTACAACTATCCAGTAATGCAGTCAGCACACAAACATTACCAGCTTCTAGGGATTATTACTGGAACTCCATGCAATCATTGCAAGCTAAACATGTGTTAGAAGTTATTTATGAAATAGTTACTGCTATTTGGGAGAAATAAAATTCCATTAAACCATATGCAGGCATTATTCTAGAACACAGGAGTAACACTTCCAGATTTTAAATAGCCAACCCAAGTAAGGGACTTTTTACTATTCAATTAGATTTCTCTAGTTTAAAATATATTCTCTTTTACCACATCATCATATGTGGATTGCCAAAACATTCCCTGTTGTTACTTACACAACACTGCTTCAGGCATCAAAAAAGAACTATGCATATCAGGTAGTATTATATACGTCCTTGGTACGTTACATATAACCATTAACTGGTTAAATTGTGCAATAAATTTAGACTGGCCACAAATGCAAAATAATTATCACACCATAAATATGACTAATCCGACTATAAAATAAGCCAAACAACTATAAAGTTAATGCTTGAAAATGTGTAACAAACTCTATAGCTGGTTTCTATCCAGCTTGAATTTGAATGTGTAGCAGGGCCCTTACACTATATTTATGACAGGTACCACGTATGACATTTTAAACTGCTGCCATTTGTTACTGTTTGTGTAAATTATAAAATAAATTAAAAGGTCTCCATTTGTCCAAATCTTAGTCCTCTGTATGACAAATACATAGCATTCCTATTTTAGATAAACTGATCTAAAGCCACGTCCTCTGTATTTGGTATTACTGAACCTGTGAAGATCACAGGGCAAGAGGCACAGGACAGGGAAATTTTCTAGTGATAAGGAACAAATACTAGTCACATGAACATACTTATTTTGATACTTGTAAAAATTTTACCTTCAGCTTAACTCTTATTGTCCCATGTTTATCAATCCAATGTTTATCACAGTTGTGGAGCTAATTTGTGGCACACCTGCCAAAAAGGCTGGCTCCACATCCACCCCAAGTGGCACTCTGATCCCTTTCCTTTCCTGATTTGCTGCCCAGCTTTCTGCCCTATCTACCACTATCTCCCCTTCCCCAACCTGCTGTGCATCACACACAGAGGTTACCCACACCACCAGTGGCACCCATTCCGCAGGCTGGCAACCGCCAATTTAGTATTTCCTGATACACGTGTGCAACACGACAGGCACTCTCATATTTACTCCGCATATGCATACTACCTCATTTTCAAAACGACATTGCCAATACGTTCAAATCAAGTACAGTACAGGAGCAGCAGGGCCCAGCAGAAAATGAAGGTATTATTTATTAAGGATGCTACCATCACCATTTTTTACCCCCTAAACCAAGTTGCTCCACTTAATTTACTACTGCCGGTACAATTTGCACCTCCTTTGGACCAGCAGGAGTAAGGCAAGTGTGATGGATGAAAGGCAGAAATAATATCGATTGAAATAACAATCAGTCATTTACATTTACCTTCTATAATACAAAACATTCAGTGCCCAATATTAGTGTTTGAATGAATGTGAAGGCACATTAACCATTCAAATCTGTAGAGGAATTTTTCCAGCCGGTTTTCCTCCTTACCAAAGACCAAAGTGACCCAGATCTTGCTGTCCGCCTTGACGACGAAGGCCTTTTGGTCTTGGACAAACCCTGGGAAAAGATAACAACTCTGAGCACCAATGGTGAGGTTTTAACATGCACTCAGTGACAGGCAGTGTTTTGTTTCTCAGCCCAGGGTGGAAAAAAAACCCAGGGAAACTAGGAGGAGGGAGGAGTCAGGGCAATACACTCAGGCTTAAAAGAAATCCAGGTGGCCACCCAACATGCCTCCGAGGGGGGGGCTCCCGAGCTCAGAGGATCAAGTGTCCAAAAAGAAATGCCTCAAACCAAAACAAGGGGTCAAAGGGCTTTCTATCCATCAGCCCTCCAGTCGTGGCACTCGTTTCTAATGCCCGGGGCAGGTTCACAGGAGATGGCTACACCCCACCCAGCACATACCCGGCTTCTTGGCTGCGGGGTGAGATCAGCCCCGTGCCTGGGGGTTATTTCCTGGCTGCCCCCAGGCTGAGGCGGCGCCGGGCGGGGGCGCAGTGGCCTGACCCGGACACCCCGCAGGCGGGAGGGGAGGCTGCGCTGCCCCCCACGAGTCCCGACGGCGGCGGGAGCCGGGACTGAAGTAGGGGGAGGCTGCCCCCGGCGGCGCTCACCTCGCACCCGAGCCC